CCATATGTCACTGTCAATGCCTGTGATCCAGTTTCTTACCCATCAATACAACAAATGGGTTGTTGCAACTGGATTCTCACAGACCAGGATATGAAAGCTTCAACATAAGCAAGTTTTCTAAAGAAATGACTTTTCCCTGCAGAACTAGAGTTCAGGGATGTCTGCAGCCTAGGCCTGCTGAGACATGCTCCACTTCACCCAGTCAAGCAGAACACACTGAAACTCAGTAGGGACGTCATTTTGTACCAGTCACTTGTACCTGGCAAACAGGTAGGTGACATAGAGGGAGGGTAAGAAAGGTATCAAAAACCTATGAAATGTCAAAGGGAGCTTTTCACACCTAGCAGAATCCTCATTCTAGGTTTCTGGTAGTATTCTCAATGGTATATCCATTTGTACATCAATTTGAGGAACTCCGGGGAGTTGAGCTGCTGTTCTCTATCAAAACAAGCTGTATCATTGCCTGTTTAGTTTCCACACACTTTGCCACAGAACATTTCACATTCTCATTGTGTTTGTTATGGGTTGTGCCTTTCATTGTTTCTGTTCCCCTCCTGAAGGGCAGGTTGTTGACGACCACAAGGTCTGCTGTTAGGAGCTAGCAGCCTCCTGTCTCTCTGCTGACTTTTTCCAATATTCCCACTTCTAATGGGAACTTCTAACTTACTATGAGATAGAACAATCAGTAACTAATATTTCTAAGAAACATATACAAAGTGATAAAAATTACTGGCAATGAGAACTAAAGATGTGGCTTCCAGGCAGGGCTTCCTGATTTATTTTAGATACTCAGAAACATTTGTTTCCAACAGAATTATATTATAAGGCTCGGAGGTAGAAAGTTATTCTACATAAACTGGGTGTTCCTGAATAATTTTACTGAGCTATTTGGACATTAAATCACCTGGCAAACACTTGTTGCCTTTCCTGGACTTCATGGAATATAGTACAGGGATGGTAGGAAAATTTCATTTCAGAAGCTCAGTTTTCTGCATCAGAACGTAAATGGTTATTTAAAGAAGAAATACTATCTAACATCAGAATTATATGATTTCTTATCCAGCACATTTTTGTTATATAATTGTGAATCACATCACCAAATAACATGACAACGGGGCTATACAGCATCAGAATGAGAAAGCCCATGAAAAAAATTTTGAGTACTTAATACATATCACCTACCTCTTATGCATATCCAACAATCCTCTTTTTTGTTGTGTTTCTTAAGTTCTTCTTCAGTTACTTCGATCAATCTGCCCTTTAGTCCTGTTAGGTCCTTTCCACTTTTGGTCAGTCGAATCCAATCCATAAGACTTCTGCCCTGTTTTAAAGGAACCTAAAAAAGGAAAAGGAAGGAATTAAATTTGGCTTCCTCAAAGTAGTTGCTTTCCCTTCTTCCTGCTGCTTGTCTTCAGGCTCCTTCACTAGTCTTATTCCCATTTAAAATGATAATAAAATTCAAATCTAACAATTTTATAAATCCTCTTACAGCTTTAGGAGACTATCGAAATTGTTTTTGCTATATTCAAGTTATAAATAGAACAGAACTTAAAATACTAGGGATATAGGGACCAGCAGTTGGCGTAATGGCTATGTCGCTGGACTCCCACGTAGTCGACCGTGGTTTGAGTCCCGGATCCGGCGGCTTAAACTCACACCAGGCATGTGTGCATGCATGCCCAAGATCCCGAGAGGAGAATGGAGGAGAAGGGATGGCGGTGTGGCCATCCCCCTGGGGAGTGATTTCTCGCTTTCTGTCTCTCTGTCTCTGTCTGTCTGGCGAGCGCACGCACCCTATAGCAAAAACCTCTCCAAAAAAAAAAAAAAAAAATAGGGCAATAAGTAGGTTTAGAAATCCTGTCATACAAATTCTCATCCAAATGAGGTCAAAGCAGAAGAGGAATAGAGCTGAACAAGGAGTCAGAAAACAATTTACTGCTCCTGACCCTGCCACGGACTTGGTCACCAACCTGGATCAATTTTTTTTTCATCTTATGTGGATGATAACGTGTATAGTATCTTCAGCTGGACTAGGATGAAGTGTATTTATTCTGAATAAATTCACTTTTACAAGCTGTAGTGATGTATAGTAATTGAATGTATAAGAGAAATTAAAAAAAATAAAGAAATCTGATAAAGGAAAAGATAAATGGGCTAGAGTTGATCATGTGGATTGTCAACATAAAATAGAACATGAGAAATCATTAACCAGCCAAGTGTTTTCTAAGAACCCGCTGAGGGCCAGCTGCAGCAGTGCAACAGTAACATAACGCTCTGCAATGCTGAAGCCACATAGGAAGGTCCCTGGTTTATGTCCCAAGTAAGGTCTCTTGGAACACACCGAGCATGTGCACCTGTGCTTATGATCCAGGCAGGCTGAGACTGGAGGTAGAAGGTGGTGCGAAGACACTGCTGGGAATGCCTCTTCCTCTCACACACTTTCATGCAAGAAATAAACCTTTGAAAAAGTTTTAAGGACCAGTAGGTGATGTGGAGGTTAAGGTGCTGAATCCCACATGGTCGGCTGCCTGGTTTGAGTCCTGGACCTGATGGCCTGAAAATCATGCAGGGCACAAGTGCACATGGGCCCAAAAATCCTCAGAAGAGACTAGAAAAGAAGAGACATGAGGAGGAGGGTGGATTTCTCATTCTCTCTCTCTGACAAGAACATGTGCCCTACAGCAAAAACTAAACAAACAAAAGTTTTAAAAATAGAATGCACCGAGAAACAAAGTTTATCAGATAATGGAAACTACTACTATAACACTACAGGGAAGAGGTTGGCCAAGTATAGCCTGCAGCTGTTCCTATATTGTGCTTGAGCTACAAATAGTTTTCACATGTCACGGCAGTAATGTGACAAACATTATGAAATGCTTATCAAAGCTTAAATGATTGTATGAGAGGACTTCAAAACGTTTACGGGAAAAAATGGAATTAAAGTAAGAGTTCTGATGCAAAAAAAAAAAGTGAAATCCATGCACAGTTTTACCATGGTACACGTTTTCCACGAACTTTTTCAAGATCACTGTATGTACCACCTGGCCCTTTGCAAAACTTTGCCAACTTTTGCCTAGAGGATTTAATAGCAGGATATTTTAAGGTTTTATTTCATTTTACAAAATACATTTTCAATAACTTTTAGTTATTAGTATTTTAACCAATTAATACAACCTATTAGAAAAAACTTTTAAAGAGATTTTTGCTACAGCGCTCATGCACTCACTAGAGAAAAAGAGAGAAAGAAGGTGAGAAATCACCCCCCAGGAGGGATGGCTATGCACACATGTGTACCCAGGATGAATGTCAAGCTGCCGAGTCCAGGACTCGAACTGCGGTTGACCATATGGGAGTCCAGCACCTTAACCACTGTGCCTCCTGCTGGTCCTGTAGTAGAAACTTTTCTTTTTTTTTTGTAGAGGTTTTTCACTATAGGGCGCGTGTGCTCACCAGACAGACAGAGAGAGACAGAGAGACAGAAAATGAGAAATCACCTCCCAGGGGTGATGGCCACGCCGCCATCCCTTCTCCTCCATTCTCCTCTCGGGATCTTGGGCACGCACACACATGCACCCGGCATGAGTTTAAGCCGCCGAATCCAGGACTCGAATTGCGATCGACTACGTGGGAGTCCAGCAACATAGCCATTACGCTAACTGCTGGTGCCCCGTAGTAGAAACTTTTAAAGATATCTCTACAGAACGGTCTACATTTGTCTAACAAGTTTATAACGTACCAGAAAAATGTTTAATTTGAATGTGGCACATTCAGGAAGTTTATATACCCTTCCTAATTCGTATCTGTTTTAAGCATCCATTTAACTTCAGAGTAACCACGTTAATAAAAAAAAAATAGGTCTGCAGTGTCTTTTCAATTCCACATTCCACCACTCCAACCTACATCATCCCTTCTATCAATGAAATTTGGCTAACTCCATGTTTTTACTTTTACTAAATCTCCCATTATACGCTTTAGCAAAACGGAAACTGGTTCTTTTATTCCTTCACTGCCCGTGGTGCAGCAAGCACTTGCTCTTATGTGCTGCTCCCTCTGCCCAAATCAGTAACCCTCGCTGAAACCTAGAGAGTTTTAGTTAAACACTAATAGCTAAAAGCTTTGAAAATGTCTTTTGTAAAATGAAGCAAAATAAAAACCCAAAGCATCTATTATTAAATTTTCTAGGCAAACATTTCTGCAAAGTGCCAGACAGTACATATGTAGGGCTTTCAAATGTACATGGAAAACTTGTATTATGCTTGGATTTCAAAATAATTTTTTGCATCAAAATGAATTTGTACATTAATTCCATTATCCCATGAACTTTTGAAAGGCCCTGCATACAGTATTTTAGTCTCGGAGAGCCTCATAAGGTTTCATTTACGGTCTCAGTAAATTGAGAGAAAATTATCTGTTCCAACCCAAACCAGTCACCCATAGCTCTCCATTCTGTAATTCATAGAGTAATCTTTTGGAAATGTAACTCTAGTCACAAGCTCTCCCATATTATCTTAGAGTAACATCTCTAAACTCCCTAGTGGCTTACAAGGGCCTTCATAATCTGCTCATAATTCACCTCACTAGCTACCTGTGAGCTAGTTTCCCTTATCTGCTTTAGCCAAATGGGAACTGGTTCTTGAATTCCTTGATTCCTAGCAAGCATTTGCTTGTAAGAGCTGCTTTCGGGGCTGGCAGGTGGCATGATGGATAAGGGTGCTGGACTCCCACATGGCTGACCACGGTTCGAGTCTTGGACCTGGTGGCTTGCTTTCTCACTTTCCCTCTCTCACTCTCTCTCTGTCTTTCTGTTCAAATTTTAAAAAAATAAATAAATAAAATAAATTAATTAAATGAATGCATAAATAAAACTAAACAAATAATTCTAAAAAAAAAAAAAAAAGAGCTGCTTTCTTTGCCTGATCAGCCTTTCGCTCAGACACTGTCAGCCCTGATTTCCTCTGCAAGTGTTTTCTGATCCCAGTTCCTACACAGTCATAATTCTCTGCTGCAGCACTCATGACATTACTAGTTTGTGCAAGCTATAAGATTAAAATCTTGAAATCAGGAACCAGCAGATGGCGTAATCGTCGCTGGACTCCCACATTGTCGACTGCAGTTCAAGTCCTGGACCCAGTGGCTTGAAAGTCATGCAGGCAGTGCCTGCGTGCCCAAAATCCCAAGAGAAGAATGGAGGGGAAGGAATTGCGGTGTGTAGCCTTCCCTGGGTGGAGGGAGGTGGATTTTGTACTTTTTGTCTGTCTCTCCAGTGAGCACACACACCCTACAGCAAAAATCTCTCTTAAAAAAAATTCTTGAAATCAGACTACATCTCCAGCATATAGTAGGATCTCAGTAAATATTTATTTACTAGTGTCAGTAGAAGTAATAACAGCTTTCATATATTGAGTGCATACTCTGCATCAGATTCGATCTGTAAAGTCTGAACAAAAGCCTCAGGACATGTATCATTTACCCAGGGCAGGGTATACTCAGAGAGGTCTCTGAGCACAAACCTGGAACCTTCCCACAGGGTCAGGCTTGCAGAACATGGCATTTTACTGCTGCACCAAGGTCCGGCCCCACATGCTGGTAATTTTAATAAGGGCACTGGGACCAGCAGATGGTGAAATAGTTACATCACTGAAGTCCCATATGGCTAACTGTGTGGTTCCAGTACCAGACCCGGAGGCTTGATGTGATGTTGGCTGGGCCAGGTGCATGCCCAAAATCGTGACAGGAAAATGGAGGAGAAGGGATTGAGGTGTGGCCATCCCTTCCCCCCCTCAGGGGGGTGATTTCTCACTTTCTGACTCTCTGTCTCTCCAGCAAGCACACATGCCCTATAGCACAAATCTCTCAAATAATAATAATAATAATAATAATAATAATAATAAATAAGAACCAGCAGATAGCATAATGGTTACCTCGCTGGACTCCCACGTAGTCAACTGCAGTTTGCATCCAGGACCCAGTGGCTTAAAACTCACGCTGGGTACATATGAGCCCCAAATCCCAAAAGAATGAGAGAGAAGGGATTGCAGCGTGGCCATTCCCCACCCCCCAGGTGATTTCTCACTTTTTGTCTCTCTGTCTCTTTATGTCTCTCAGAGAGTACACATGCCCTATAGCAAAAAAATTCTCTAAGATAGATAGATAAATAAATAAATAAGGTAGGGCACCAAGTCATATTCTAATTTAGAGGATATTCTAACTCTCTAGAAAAATTATACTTTTCAATCAAGTATTTAGCTTAAGGAGAGAAACAAATACTTGAGGGAGGAGACACATTAACTGGATGGCTGGATGATAAGATATACAGAGTAAGAAATGAAATGTCACAACAAACCCAGACGAGAGAAAGTGAAAAATCACCCCCCGGGGGATGGCCATGGTGTAATTCCTTCTCTCTATTCTCTCCGTGGGATTTTGGGCATGTACACATACGTGCCCAGCATGATTTTTCAAGCCACTGTGTCTAGGATTCAAATCCGTCAGCCATGTGGGAGTCCAGCTCCTTAATTTCCATACTACCAGCTAGCCACCAAGGCAAAATTTCTCAAGCAGGCTCTTTTTCTATGAAAAAGAGAACAAAAACTTCCACTTCATAGGATCATTGTAAAAATTAAATGAGTTAATACACATACAGAAAACACACAGAACATGGCAAAGCACTTAACAAATACCAGTTATAATAATACATAATAATATAGTTGGAGTTTCAGATCTCCAAAAAGCTAATGGAAGCTACAGATCCCTGAATTTATATTCTGAGCCAGAATCTGAACTCCAGGTCTAAGTGGGGATAAAGAACAAAGTTGCTGAAGGTCCTAAGAGTTCAAAATGAATAGAAAAAAAAGAGTGGTCCCAGTAGGTGGAAGTCTCAAAAACAAAAAATGAAGATGTGGTTACAGAAAAAGGAACTAACAAATAATAGGACAAAGCAACATTCATATGATAACAAATGCGGGGCACTACTTTTATTAATATTAACGTGAACAAATATAAAATACATTTGTATCCCACCTGTTGCTGACAGTAACTATACTCAAAAAAAAAAAAAAAAAACAAAACAACTCAAGCTAATATAACAGCTTCAAAGTCAGCTAGTGTTAACAGTAGAAAAAGTAGTGATGAACTAGTTACCAAAGGAAGAAAGGAAGAAAGAAAGGTAGTGTGACTCAGAGAAGTGTCCGTAAACCTGACGGGAAGTTTGTGGATACTTGTCTTCACGTCTCCAATTTCCCCTAGCTCCAGGAGTCCCCACCCTTGCAGAGAGGGTCACTGTCGCCCTTACCAAACATTTGCCTTCTACGAGGGAACCCCATCACTCTCAACTCCTTTGGACGGTGAAGAACAAAAGACTCGAGAGGGGGAAGCTAATACCGAGTACCTACAGAACCGCCAGCATATCGTCTGGCCCTGTCATTTTTCAGCAGGAAAGAACTCGCAGGCAGGGAACTGAAGCGGGATAAACACACGGGAAAGGAGAAGGGCTAGCAGATAAGGGGGACAGAGGTTAGAAGAGAGCGTGGGATCGACCAAAAAAAAAAAAGGTCGCCTGCAAGGGCAGGAGGGATCGAAAGCTACAAAGCAGAACAGGAATTGGGAAAAGGGAAGACGTGAAGAGCAGACTGTGCTGGAGCGCTAAATGCCGGAGGGCGAGGCTGAGGGTGTCACAGGCTTACCTTGCTACGCCCCCCGGAGGAGACGCGCTGCTGCGAGCTGGGGGCAGGGAAAGCCTGGGAAGGGATGTTCAGCATTCTGGACCTCTGGCCTGGGCCCCGCCCGGGGTCCGCCGCGGCACTGGATCGTTTTGCGAAGCCCCTCTGGATGCCACCTCCCGCACCGGCTCAGCGGCCGGGCAGAGGCCAAGCCCCCAACCCACCTCCGGGGCCGCG